GGTCTGGGGGCGGGGGTCGGCGTCTCCTGACGAGCCCCGCACGTCCCCTCAGCCGCCGGCTGCAGCCGCACGCACTCCGCGGTCACCCTGGGGGACTGGAGCGACCCGCTGGACCCCGACGCCGAGACCCAGGCTGTGTACAGGCAGCTGCTCCTGGGCCGGGACCAGCTCAGGTGGGTGACGCGCCTGCGCGCACGCGCACGCGGGTCCGCCTCGGGTCCCGGCGGGGCCGCGCCAGCCCTCCGACCCGCATCGCGCCCGTTCACTCCTGGTGGGAGCTGAGCGCCCAGGGCGGCCGGGCAGGGCCCGAGGCGTCCTCCTCCCCTGCCCCCGGAGGCCGAGCGGGGTCTGGGGTCTCTCAGTGCCCCCCACTCCTGAGCGCCCCGCGCCCCGGTGCAGCCCTGTCCCTGCCGGGGCCCAGGACAGAGGCCGTCCCGACCCACCGTCCACTGGGGTCTGCAGCCACCTGCCTGGACCGCGTGGGCACTGGTGCTCACACCTGTAAGCTTAGCCACCCTGGAGGCTGAGATCTGAGGATCAAGGCTCTAAGCCAATCCAGGCAGACAAAACTGAGAGATTTTTGTTGTTGTTTTTGGTAGGTCATGAGGCTTGAACTCAGGGCTTGGGAGCTGTCCCTGAGCGCTTTTGCTCAAGACTAGGCTAGCACTCTACCACGTTAAGCCAGTGCCACTTCCAAAAGGAGAGACTCTAACTTCCAAAAGCAAAAAGCTGGAAGTGGAGCTGTGGCTCACATGGTAGAGCGCTAGCCTTGAGCCAGAAAGTTCAGGGACACCACCCAGGCCCTGAGTTCAAACCGCAGGACCAGCACAGAAACATGGTACGGGCCTCTCAGTGTGACCCTGAGGGTTATGGGAGCAAATCCAGGGACAGAGTTAGTTTTCAATACAGAATAATAGGGATTATAAAGCTGTGTGACCTCAGGCAGGCTACTCTAACTCTGTGTCTCAGTGATAGTATCTGAGAACGGTTTCTGACAGCACTCGGCTCATGCCAGTTGCTGAGACAGAGGAGTTAATGTCTGGGCAGGATGTAGGAAGAGGGTGGTGGGACTCTGATCTCAGGTGGGGAGCAGCCAAGAATCTCCAGGCAGCTTTGGGATGTGGGGTTGGAGACCAGACTTGTCTGTTACCTCTTCTTGACAACCAGGATGAAATTCCTGGAGGATCTGAACCCAGATCTAGTTCCAGAGGCCGACGCCGGGAAGGATCCGGGCACCACTGACAGTAAGGGACAGGGGCCCTGTCCTCCCACCCCCAGCCCTGCTTCACCCCACCATGCATGCAGCCTCCAGTGCCCGCCTGCCCACCTCCTGATTCCAGGCTCATTTTGGGGTTCTCAGGGCAAATCTGCAGCTTTAGGAAAGCAATTGGGCCTGGAGGGCTGGCAGCTTTGGGGGGCCAGCTGAGTCCCCCCTGTGGCCCTTGTCCTCCCCCAGGACCCCCCCCTGAGGTCCTGGCCCGGCAGAGAGCAGCCGCCGCCCACCTGCTGCAGGTGCTGGAGGACCTGGACCGAGCCCATGAGGAGTTCCTGCTGCGGCTCTGAGGAAGGCCGAAGCCGCCCTGGCACAGGGGGTGGGAGCATGTGCGGGGCTCTGGGGCGGTCCTCCGTGCCCCAGTCCTGCCCAGGGCGGGGGCCGGGCCTCCGATCCCACAAGGCTTTGCTTTCTGGGTTGGATAAGGAACCTGACTGGTCAACCTGGAGTCTTTGCGTCTCTGGACTCACCTCTTCCTTACTCAAGAAGCCAGCCTGGTCCTGAGCTGCTGGATACAGCTGTTCCTGAAATCCTAATGCCTAGCTAGTCTTACTGTCCCAGACAGGCACTCAGTGGGCCCCGTTCTTCCTGTTCTCAACCCCTGTGCTTCACCAACCACCCAGTCCTCCGTCCCTGGCTAGACCCCAACCCCCAAGCCTTTGGAATTGGGTGCCTTGAAGCAGAACTGCAGTTGGGTACCAAGTCTGCCAAACTCAGATCCATGGAGCTTGGGAAACGTTGGGCCTGGCTCCGCCCCCACTCCCTTCACCCCACCCTCTGTGCCTCAGTTTACCTTGTATAAAATGAGAAGGGAGTGAGCTTGGCCGTGTGGCTTTCAAACTGGTTTCTGGGTAGCTGGCCCTGAAGTCAAAGCTCTACCTTCCACCCACCTCTCTTAGGCTGTTTTCTAGAAGGTTCCTGGGCCCCACCTGACCATGGCAGCAGGGTTCTGGAGGAGGAGCTGCCATTCTCCCACTTCCCAGCGTGTGTGGAGGAGCACAGGGCTGGGCATGTTAATGTAAGAGGGCTGAGGGCCAGATGGGAGAGCATCCGACCTGTTGGGCAGCATCCGACCTGCAGGGCGGCAGGGCCTCATTTCTGCCTTTGTGACACTGGACAGAGGGAAGCTGGTGGTGCTATTCCTTGCATGACCAGCAGGGGTCGCCTGGTGCCGCCGGAGCTGCCTGCGGGCCACCCGGCCGCCTCCCGAACATTTCCTGGCCTCAGATCCCAGCTCACCCCTGCTCCTCATCTCACCCCTCCCCCTCCCTCTCATTCTCTA